GAGGAGGTAGGAAGAAAGAGTAAATGGTAAGAGGAGGAGGTGGTGGAGGATAGACAGAAAGCAAGAAAAACGAAGGAGAAAAGGGAGAACGAAAGGAAGAGAAAGAAAAATCAAAGGGAGAAGAGAAAAAAATAAATAGTTGGAAAAAAAGGAGGAAACGAGAGAGAGAGAGAGAGAGAGAGAGAGAGAGGGGGTGTTGCCACCCTGGGGAGAACTGCTTCTCTCTCTCTCTCTCTCTCTCTCTCTCTCTCTCTCTCTCTCTCTCTCTTCTCATGCAAATTCTCCCCCTGCAATCATGTCCAATTGTTGAGAGTTAGCCTTGGGTGTTCTAGCTGTGTGTACCTGTGTGTAGTGGCTGTGTGTACCTGTAAGTATTGCCTGTGTGTACCTGTCTAGTGGCTGTGTGTACCTGTCTAGTGGCTGTGTGTACCTGTCTAGTGGCCGTGTGTACCTGTCTAGTGGCCGTGTGTACCTGTGTAGTGGCTGTGTACCTGTAAGTATTGCCTGTGTGTACCTGTTGTGTAGTGGCTGTGTGTACCTGTCTAGTGTACCTGTCTGTCCATGTGTGTACCAGTGTGTACCTGTCTAGTGTACCGTGTACCTGTCTAGTGCCGTGTGTACCTGTGTGTGTACCTGTATGTATTGTCTGTGTGTACCTGTCTAGTGGCTGTGTGTAACCTGTGTCCAGTGGCCGTGTGTACCTGCATGTATTGTTGTGTGTACTTGTAGTGCTGTGTGTACTTGCCAGTGTGTACTTGTAGTGGCCTTGTGTGTAGTGGTTGTGTGTACCTGTCTAGTGGCTGTGTACCTGTGTGTAGTGGCTGTGTGTACCTTTCTAGTGGCCGTGTGTACCTGTGTGTATTGTCTGTGTGTACCTGTGTGTAGTGGCTGTGTGTACCTTTCTAGTGGCTGTGTGTACTTGTGTATTGTCTGTGTGTACTTGTGTATTGTCTGTGTGTACTTTTATGGGTGTGTACCTGTGTGTACCTTTCTAGTGTGTACCTGTGTGATGGCTGTGTGTTTCTAGTGGCCGTGTGTACCTGTGTGTAGTGGCTGTGTGTACCTTTCTAGTGGCTGTGTGTACCTGTATGTATTGTCTGTGTGTACCTTGTGTGTAGTGGCTGTGTGTACCTGTCTAGTGGCCGTGTGTACCTGTGTGTGTAGTGGCTGTGTGTACCTGTCAGTGGCCGTGTGTACTGTGTGTGTGTAGTGGCTGTGTGTACCTGTAAGTAGTGTTTTTCTGATTTTATTTGTTGCTTATCTTTTTATCACCACCTGCTCTCTCTCTCTCTCTCTCTCTCTCTCTCTCTCTCTCTCTCTCTCTCTCTCTCTCTCTCTCTCTCTCTCTCTCTCTCTCTCTCTCTCTCTCTCTCTCTCTCTCTCTTCTCCTGTCTCTCTCTGGTTCCTTTGCACACTTCATCGGCTTCTGTCTCTTTTTTATTTACTGGAGCGAAGAGTGGGAGGGAATATTGCAATCATCCACCGCCTGTTCATCCACCGCTGTCTTCATCCACCGCCTGTCTTCATCCACCGCCTGTCTTCTACCACCGCCTACCTTCATCCACCGCCTGTCTTCACCCACCGCCTGTCTTCATCCACCGCCTGTCTTCATCCACCGCCTGTCTTCATCCACCGCCTGCCCTGTTCATCCACCGCCTGCTTCATTCACCGCCTGTCTTCATCCACCGCCTGCCCACCGCCTGTCTTCACCCACCGCCTGTCTTCACCCACGCCTGTTTTCCCACCGCCTGTTTCACCCACCGCCTGTCTTCACCCACCGCCTGTCTTCATCCACCGCCTGTCTTCATCCACCGCCTGTTCATCCACCGCCTGTCTTCATCCACCGCCTGTCTTCACCGCCTGTCTCTTCATCCACCGCCGCCTGTTTTCATCCACTGCCTGTCTTCATCCACCGCCTGTCTTCATCCACCGCCTGTCTTCATCCCACCGCCTGTCACCCACCGCCTTCACCGCCTGTCTTCATCCACCGCCTGTCTTCACCCACCGCCTGTCTTCATCCACCGCCTGTCTTCATCCACCGCCCGTCTTCATCCACCGCCTGTCTTCCACCGCCTGTCTTCACCCACCGCCTGTCTTCACCCATCCACCGCCCGTCTTCACCCACCGCCTGTCTTCATCCACCGCCTGTCTTCATCCACCGCCTGTTTGCATCACCTGTCTTCATCCACCGCCTGTCTTCACCCACCGCCTGTTTTCATCACCCACCGCCTGTCTTTCACCCACCGCCTGTCTTCACCCACCGCCTGTCTTCCACCTTCATCCACCGCCTGTCTTCATCCACCGCCTGTCTTCATCCACCGCCTGTCTCACCCACCGTCACCTGTTTTCATCCACTGCCTGTCTTCACCCACCGCCTGTTTTCATCCACTGCCTGTCTTCATCCACCGCCTGTCTTCATCCACACCCACCGCCCGTCTTCACCCACCGCCTGTCTTCACCCACCGCCTGTCTTCTTTACCCACCGCCTGTTTTTCATCCACCGCCTGTCTTCACCCACCGCCTGTCTTCACCACCGCCTGTTCATCCACCGCCTGTCTTCATCCACCGCCTGTCTTCATCCACCGCCTGTCTTCATCCACCGCCTGTCTTCACCCACCGCCTGTCTTCACCCACCCACCGCCTGTCTTCATCCACCGCCTGTCTTCACCCACCGCCTGTCTTCACCTGTCTTCATCCACCGCCTGTCTTCACCCACCGCCTGTCTTCACCACCGCCTGTCTTCATCCACCGCCCGTCTTCACCCACCGCCTGTCTTCACCCACCGCCTGTCTTCATCCACCGCCTGTCTTCATCCACCGCCTGTCTTCATCCACCGCCTGTCTTCATCCACCGCCTGTCTTCACCCACCGCCTGTCTTCACCCACCGCCTGTCTTCACCCACCGCCTGTCTTCACCCACCGCCCTGTCTTCCACCGCCTGTCTTCACCCACCGCCCCACCGTCTTCACTCCACCGCCTGTCTTCATCCACCGCCTGTCTTCATCCACCGCCTGTCTTCATGTCTTCATCCACCGTCTTCATGTCTTTCACCGCCTGTCTTCACCCACCGCCTGTCTTCATCCACCGCCTGTCTTCATCCACCGCCTGTCTTCACCCACGCCTGCCTTCATCCACCGCCTGCCTTCTCATCCACCGCCTGTCTTCATCCACCGCCTGTCTTCATCCACCGCCTGTCTTCACCCACCGCCTGTCTTCACTCCACCGCCTGTCTTCACCCAATCGCCTGTTCACCCACCGCCTGTCTTCATCCACCGCCTGTCTTCATCCACCGCCTGTCTTCATCCACCGCCTGTTCATCCACCGCCTGTCTTCATCCACCGCCTGTCTTCATCCACCTCCTGTCCTCATCCACCGCCCAGTCTTCACCCACCGCTCCGTCTTCTCACCCCCGCCCCCTACTTCACCTGTCTGTCTTCATCCACCGCCTGTCTTCACCCACCTCCCTGCCTCCATCCACCGCCTGTCTTCATCCACCGCCTGTCTTCATCCACCGTTGTCCTCCTTCCTCATCCACTTCTTCATCTCCAACACCACGTCCCTCCATCACTACCAACACGTACCTCCCTCACTCACTAACACCACGTCTGTCTCCAACACCACATATCACCACTACTACACCTGCAAACCTCCATCTCCAACACCACGTCCTCTCTCCTCACTACCTCCCCCTCCCCCTCCACACCATCTCCAACACCACCTCTCTCCATCTCAAACGTCTGCAGTATCATCGTCAGGTCAACGCTTACCCCCATCTTTTTTATACCAGATATTATTTTGTTTTTCCTTGCGTTTGCTTATCGAGTGACGTCTAGCTGGTCTTTGAAGGGAGGAATTTGCGAAACGGTGTCCGAAAAAATGTGTGTGTGTGTGTGTGTGTGTGTGTGTGTGTGTGTGTGTGTGTGTCATTATAAGCAAAAAGGAACAGGGAACAGAAATAATGGAAAAGCTTTATAGGGAGACAATTAATTATGTTGTATGACTCGAGATATTCAGAACGCTTATACTTCTTTTCGGGGTCTTGGTAATTCTTGCTTAATGAGATGATGTCTTTGATACCTACCTACCTACCTACCTGGCTACCTGTCTACCTACGTACCTTCCTTCACCCCTCCCTCCCTCCCTCCCCCTCTCTCTCCTTTCCTCTCCTCCCTCTTTCTACTCCTCCTTCCTTCTCTCTCCTCCCTCCCTCTCCTCTCTCCTCCCTCCCTCCCTCTCCTCTCTTTCTCCTCCCTCCCTCTCCTCTCCCTCCCTCCTCTCCTCTTTCTCCCTCCTCCCCTCCCTCTCCTCCCCTCCCTCTCCCCTCTCCTCTCTCCTCTCTTCTCCTCCCCTCCCTCTCCTCTCCTTCGACTTTGCTAGAGTTGAATAAATTAGTGAGACAATTTATATATTTTCTTCTAATTATTTGATTTTTATGTTTATTGAATTAAAAATAATATTTGACTTTATTGATGTTCTGAAATGTTTGTTTGTTTATCTGTTTGTTTATCTGTTTGTTTTGTTTGTTTGGTTTGATTTTGTGGTTCATAAGTTTTTATTGTCTTACCAACTGACATTCCTGACCAGGCAATCAGCTGACATTTCTCACCCAAACTAGATTATCAGCTGACACTCTTCAGAAGACTATCAGCTGACATTTCTCACCCTTACCAAACTATCAGCTGACACTCCTCACTAGACTACCAGCTGACATTTCTCACCCTTACCAAACTATCAGCTGACACTCCTCACTAGACTACCAGCTGACATTTCTCACCTTCACCAAACTATCAGCTGACACTCCTCACTAGACTACCAGCTGACATTTCTCACCCTTACCAAACTATCAGCTGACACTCCTCACTAGACTACCAGCTGACATTTCTCACCTTCACCAAACTATCAGCTGACACTCCTCACTAGACTACCAGCTGACATTTCTCACCCTTACCAAACTATCAGCTGACACCCCTCACCAGCTGACTCTTTGTTTTTGGTTGACAGATCGCCTTGGCGGGAGGTAGTCTACGAGCAGAGTGCCGTCTAACGCTTGGGCCACATACGCTCAGCGCCTACCAGACACTACGCATCAGAGTACGCAAGATATCCTACGTCGACAACTACCACTCCTCAGGTAGGTGGTGGTAGTTAGTGGTTATTGAAGGTGGTTAAGTTACACCCACCTGACTGTCCGCAGGTGGGTGTAGGTAATTAATTAAAGTCTTCAAGGTATTAAATTATTAGTATTTTTCGTTGTGGTGGTTGTCACACACACACACCACACACACACACACACACACACACACCATACACACACACACACACACATACACACCACACACATACACACCACACACATACACACCACACACATACACACCATACACATACACACCATACACATACACACACACACACATACACACACACACCACGCACCACTCACACACACACACACACACACACACACACACACACACACACAGTACAACGTGGAAGTGATCGTCGTCTCTGGCCAGTTAGTGTCGTACAACCTGTGGTCTTCCAGGACACCGCCAGTCTGACATGTTATTGTGCAGTAGCCTCCCACCTCCATCCAGGCACCTCCACCCACCTTGTCTCGACCCCTCCACCCACCTTGTCTCGAACCTCCACCCACCACCCACCTTGTTCTTTCTCGAACCCCTCCACCCACCACCCACCTTGTCTCGAACCCTCCACCCACCACCCACCTTTGTCTCGACCTCTCTCCACCCACCTTGTCTCGACCCCTCCACCCACCTTGTCTCTGACCCCTCCCACCCACCTTGCCCTGACCTCCACCCACCTTGTCTGACCTCCACCCACCTAGTCTCGACCCTCTCCACCCCTCCACCCACATTAGCCTCGACTCTCCACCTCCACCCACCTTGTCTCGACTTCTCCACCCACCTTGTCTCGACCTCCACCCACCTTAATCTGACCTCCACCACCTTGTCTGACCCCTCCACCCACCTTGTCTGACCCCTCCACCCACTCCTGTTCGACCCCTCCACCACCTTGTTCGACCCTCCACCCACCTTGTCTCTCGACCCTCCACCCACCTTGTCTCGACCCTCCACCCACCTTAGTCTCGACCTCTCCACCCACCTTGTTCCTGACCCTCCACCCACCTTAGTCTTCTGACCCCTCCACCCACTCCAGCCTGACTCTCCACCCACCTTGTCTCGACCCCTCCACCCACCTTGTCTCGACCCCTCCACCTTCCACCCACCTTGTATAGTCTCCTGACGTCACTCTGTCACTCCTCCCGGGAACACAAGCAACATGGCATAAAGCTGTCGCCGTTCAGTTCGACAGGTGAGATGTGTTGTGTCGGAGGTACCTGGTGGTGAGGGAGAGATTGTGTTGGAGAAGGAGAGGGGGAAGAGTGTGTTGGCGGTAGTGAGGGAGAGAGGGAAGAGTGTGTTGGAGGTAGTGAGGGGGGCGGTGCCTGGTCACAGATACAAGCACAGGTAATGAGAGAGAGAGAGGTGTTGTCTTGCCAGGTAATATGCTAATTTCTCTTCAAGTGTCGTGTACTGCGTGTGGCTCCTTCAGTGAGAACCTTCACAAAAACTATATTCTAATTACCTTAACAATCTTCTCTTATACAATATACCCAATAGTCTACATTATACAACAGGTACTTTATTATCAGTGTTATACAATCATATAACGTCATGGGAATACTGTATCATATAAAATACAATAATAATACAATATTTACAGTGATTTAATGCCCAGAAGTTTAACAATATAATCCAACTCATGAACTAGCTTACTGAACTGTTTGTATTAGTTTGGGATAATTACATATGCAGGTACATCAAATTAAAGGTTGTCAATTGGTTCATAGTGACGTTACCTGTGTGGGCTTATGGTCTTGGTGTTGTTGATACATGTGGTGAGGTGAGGTGGAGGTGAGGTGGAGGTGAAGGTGAGGTGGAGGTGGAGGTGAGGTGGAGTGAGTGAGGTGAGGTGAGGTGGAGGTGAAGGTGAGGTGGAGTGAGGTGAGGTGAGGGAGTAAGGTGAGGTAATGGCATTTTATCGAAATGTGAGGAGATATAACTTATATTTGCATAATGGAGTGTGTGTGTGTGTGTGTGTGTGTGTGTGTGTGTGTGTGTGTGTGTGTGTGTGTGTGTGTGTGTGTGTGTGTGTGTGTGTGTGTGTGTGTGTGTGTGTGTGTGTGTGTGTGTGTGTGTGTGTGTGTGTGTGTGTGTGTGTGTGTGTGTGTGTGTGTGTGTGTGTGTGTGTGTGGGAGATTAAAACAGGTAATATGTAAGGTAGTTATATATGTAATTCCTTTCTTTATGCGTATGCGGGTTAAGGATCTATGAGCAGGGGAAGGAGGAGGATGGGAAGGAGGAGGAAGAAGAGGATAAAGAGGAAAAGGAAGGAGAGGAGGAAGAAAGAGGAGGAGGAGGAGAGGATAGAAGGCATAAGGAATACGTAATATGTTGATGATCTCGCGTATCTGTGTTATTTACTATAAACATTAACCTATTACACTAATGACTTATATATAATGTAATGTGATGATTAATCTATAAACATTAGCTAATACAATGTTTATATAAAACTCTAGTGGTATATGAAAGATAATTAGAATGAGGTATTATAGAGTAGTCCCCCCTCCCCCATTTGGTAATTATCTATCTCCAAAAATAAAAGTAAATTAAGAGAAACAAAAGACTTGAGTTAATTAACAGAGCGCTTAGTGATGTACACGAGGCGGGTGTTTCCTCCACTAGGGCAGAGACACGCGGGAAGGAAGACGAATGGTGAGGTGATAAAAGAAGAGGGTATTAGACGCGTGTGAATGGTGGGCCGAGTAGAGTATGGGTGTGTCGTAAAGAGGTGCTCGTGTAGGGTGCTGGTGGGTGTGTGGGTGGGTTAGGTTGAGCTAGTGAGTTACGAAGGGAAGATACTGTCGTGACCTGATGTGTCTCGCAGCCAGCCACTTCTCAGGTGTGGTCAGGGTTACACTTACAGGTCAAAGGTCACATGTTATTGGTGTGACCCGCCGAGGATAATTTATTGAGAATGGTGAGGCGAGAGGAGGAGACCATGGTACTGACGTCATTAAAACTGGCCCGTGGTACTGACGTCATCAAAACTGGCCGTGTAGTGTGATTGGCTGAAGAAAATCAGACAGACGAATACCAGAAGCAGGAGTGGAGGGATGGAGACCTGCTGGCGGACCAATAACATCTTGAGGGAACAACATAAGAACATAAGAATGGAGGAAACTGCAGCGGGCCTATTGGCCCATACTGGGCAGTCCCGTTTACACCCAACCCCTATTGCTCATATAAGCATCATACCTATGTTTGAAGCTATTCAGCGTATCCGAGTTATTGATGATATTTGGTAACTTGTTCCATTCATCCACTACTCTGTTTCCAAACCAGTGTTTACCTATTTCACGCCTAAATCTAAATTTGTCTAATTTAAAACCTTTGTTACGAGTTCGCTCCTGGTTGGATAGTTTGAGTACCTTTGTAATGTCCCCTTTGTTTAGCCCTGACTTCCACTTATACACATCTATTAGGTCGCCCCTCGCTCTACCTCTCTCAAGGGAGTGCAAATTAAGATGCTTTAACCTGTCTCTATACTCAAGGTTCCTAATGCCCGGGATTAGTCTTGTCATTCTCCTGTGAATTCCTTCCAAGGATTCTATATCCATTCTGTAATACGGTGACCAGAACTGAACTGCGTAATCCAGGTGTGGTCTCACAAGCGCAAGATACAGTTTTAGGATGACCTCGCTAGTCTTGTAACTAACACTCCTTTGTATGAACCCAAGTACTTTATTAGCCTTGTTACGAGCAAAAACACATTGTTTACTTGGCTTAAGGTTCCTACTTATCATTACTCCTAAATCTCTCTCGCAGTCGGATTTCTATGGCATCGTTGTTCATCTGGTATCTGGTTTCCCTGTTTACATCTCCTATACTGAGTACTTTACATTTGTCCACGTTGAATTTCATCTGCCATTTTTCAGACCATTCGAAAAATTTGTTTAGATCTTCCTGTAGTTTTGCGGAGTCCTCGTCAGATTTAATAACACGTCCTATTTTAGTGTCATCAGCAAATTTACTTTTGTTGCTGTCTATGCCGATATCTATGTTGTTTATGTATATAATAAATAATAATGGTCCAGGTACTGAGCCTTGGGGAACTCCACTTGTGTGCGATGTTGGACGCTTGAGTGTCGAACTCTCGTGAAGTGAAGAAGGTGGTGGGGAGAGTTCTGGACCAACTGGGGGTGTGACTGAGCGATTATTTACCTGTTACAATATCATGTTATAATAGTCATGTTTATTCTGAACGGTGTTTAAATGCTGCTCGTTAATGATATGATGTAACCCTGAAAAATGCAAACTAGTCATCTACGTGTTGTATACTGTATAAACGATTATTCACTACTGATAGAAAAAATAAATGAAAACGGGGGCGTAAATTCCGGAGGTTTTCTTTAGCATTTGAGTAATAGGTGACGACTTAACCCATCTTTAAAGAGTTATAGCTGAATTTCAAGTGTGTTTTCAATTGTACTCTAAGTCTAAAATCATTTCTAAATTCATATTGCCGATTAGATTTTAGATATAATTTAATTTCCAGTTATACTTTAAACAATAAGGGTCCTGGTATGGTTAAATTCCCATTGTGGAATCATTAACCTCTGACCCAGCCATAACCCACTGCCCCTAGACTCATTTACATATTGAGTTTTTACATCTAATTCCTTACAACATTTACGGGAACAAGTCTGTGTATATAATGACCCATTCGTGGAGATTAGTGGGCTGTAATATAGAGAATAAAAGTGAGAATGGAATAGAAGAGAATAAAGAGAGGAGAAGAGGAGAGAGAGATTGTTCCTTGATGTACTGAATAGGTTAGCAGTAGCTCTGTGGCCGTGGTACTTAGGTTAATAAGGGTAGTTTATGCACACAGATAGGAGTGGGGGTGAGTGGATGTGGGGGTGAGTGGATGTGGGGGTGGGTGGATGTGGGGGTGGGTGGGGGGGGTGTAACGTATTGGTGTCACTTTCATACACCTACCTTCATACAGGTTCATACACCCATAGACAACAGTATACTTCCA